GTGGCTCCAGCCGTCGGCCCTGCGGGACAAACACGGAGCGGAGGCGGGAGAGTCACTTCCGGGCCGCCCGCTAAGCTCCTCTCTGCGCGAGCTGATCCTGGAGCTGCAGTCCTCCCAGGCTGGGACGGGGGACAAGTCTGAACCTCGGGTCACACCTCAGCCAGGAAGCAGTGCGGCTTGAGCTCCCCAGCCAACCAAGACCTGCCTGGAATCTCTGCTGCTTTTATTTCCATGCTTTTCCTTCAGGCACACACTCCAGGCCCACTGTCCTGGTTCTGTCCCAGTGGGTCACAGAGGACTGGTGTTTGTGCCTTCCGGTCTGCACCCAGGGCAGCCCGGTAAAGCTAGGAAGTTGGGGCTGTCTCCAACTTCCACTTCCTCCTAGATGCTGTTTTTAGTTCCCGCTGCGATCTAACTTCTCCAAAACCAGCCTTCCAGTTGGGAGGCTTATCCAGATTGAGGCCCAGAGAACTGTCCCCTCCTTTGTTCTGGAAACACTGCTCTAATGATGTGACCAAGCGTGACACTCACTGAACATCCTCCTGTAGTCTTGGGGTGGGGTTGAGCTAAAAAGCCCTGACTCTGTTAGGTCCAAAGTAGAGCAGGCATCTGTACACACACACACACACACACACACACACACACACACACACACACTCATACACTGCACATGCACCTGCACCAAGGGCCTCTATCTTAGCAGAGGGAAGGCACCTCCTGAGCTATTTATTTCCTTTTCCCTTCTCCAAGTCTCTACTAGTTGCTAAGCAACAGGGAGGCCTCATTCCCAGGGAGTGGGATGGGAGGGAGGGAAGGGGAAGAAGGAGGTAGAGAGGGAAGGGATTGGGCTGCCTGGACAGAGTCTTCCAGCAACATTCCCCCAACACCCCCCAAAACACTCCCCTCACCGGCCTCAGAGCACTGAGGGAGCATTCATAGCCACAGGAACTGGAAGGCAGAGAGGACAGTGAGACCATTGAAGAGGCGTTGAAGAGGACAGGGCAACTGTGTAATGAAGATACAAGCTTCTCTCAGCTCCTCTATCCATGTTCTAGGCCCCTGAGATCTAGGCCAGGCTCTTCCACTCTTTGCTGTGTGACCCTCAGGATGTCCCTGCCCCTCTCTGATATCTGCCTTTGCTTGGGTGCATCATCCAGACTCCTCAAGAGGGGAGGACTCTTGGGGGCTTAGAGGCCACAGCTGTTCCTCTAACTTACTGTCTTCATTCCAAGCCCCAGTAGCTTCCCACTCTGCACCCCACTTTCAACAGGGCCTCTCTCCTGGGATACCCCACAAGCATCAGTCACTTGCCTTGCCCTAAACCAAGCTCTGGGAGCCCAGATCCCCTCGCACCTGGACCACAGGGCCTGGCTATTAGCGATCTCTCCAAGTGGAGGCCACCTGAGCCAGGGACAGGCTTGCGACTTGGAGATGCTCATCGCCTCTGCCCGCTGCCTCAGTGTCCCCGCTGGCCTCACTGCCCTCAGACCACCATCCTTCACCAGCAGCCTGACAGACCAGCCCAGGACCACCCCAGACAGTGTCGGGGCCTAAGTCCACTCCGGGACTTCCTGTCACCTTGGCTTAACAGTCAGACATGGCGTGGCCTCCCCATCCTCCACAGGCCTCCGCCTCTTCCAGGACACTGTTCACCTGGCCCCAGCTGTCCTCATAGTCACCGCTCAAAGGCATCTGCACCTTGCAGAAGCACCCTCACCCCGGGCTGGGTCCCCCCGCCCCAGCTATTGCCACGTCTGCCAGCACTGCAGGTTCACAGCCTGGCTCCCCTGGGCTGAAGGAAGTTTAGATTTCAACTCTAGCACCAGCCAAGTGCCCAGCATGCGTTGAGATCCACGCACAGGAACTGAACCAATCAGAGAAGTACAAAGGGAGGCAGGTGGAGGAACACAGGGCCAAGTCAGTGCCGCCCCAGGGCCCCTTCACTGTCTGCTTTCTGCCCTCTCCAAACTTTAGCCCCCACTTTTCTCCTCCCCAGAGCTGGGGATGGAACCCAGGGTCTCATGCATGCTAGGCAAGTGCTCACCATGAGCGGCCCCCAGCTCTGACCTCAACCCTGGTTACACCCTACCTGGAGCCAGCTGCCAGCCCTGCCCCGTCATCTCTCCCAACACGCTCTCCTTCCTCCTGTGTGCCTTTGCCCACATGGTTCCCCTTGGCTGCAATGTCTTTCTTTCTCCTCTCTCCACTGAAGGAGCTTCAGAATCCTTCAGGGCTCAGCCCAATGTTACCTCCTCTGGGAAGTCCCCCTCTTCCAGGAAGTTTGATTCCTTCCTTCCTGGTTTTCCCATAGCTTCCCCCTGCCCTCAGTACAGGAGATTGAACCCAGAGCATTTGAGCTCAGCTACATCCCCAGCCCCTTTTCTTATTTTGAGAAGGGGTCTTGCTGAGTTATTAAGCTGCCCAAACTGGGCTTCAATTTGAAATCCTCCTGCCTCAGCTTCCCAGAGTAGTGGGAATGCCACTATGCCTGGCTTCTCACAGCTTTTTGGTCCACATCTCTGAGATGACATTTAGATCCCTAATTCGGTGTTTTTGCATCTGACTCTGGTTCCTTTAAGAGGAGGGGCTTAGCTGCGGCTTATTCCAGCCCCTCTAAACCAGCTCAGGCCATGCAGCCTAACATCAGATTTGCTGAGGACACAGTCTGGGAGTGCTCATAAATTTACAGCCAGAATCTAAAAGGACTCAATAGATGGAAAAAATGGAAAGAAACTAAGAAGGTGAGAAAGGATAGTGAGAACAGCACATGCTGGAGCTGAGTCCCCGAGTAACTTTCTAAAATTGGGATGGAGCAGATGTAGTTTAGAAGTTGTATATTTAGGAAGGATTTGGAGATTTTCAATGATCACAGGCTCACTTGAGTCAATATCACGATGTGGCTGCCAGCAATGCATGCTATCTTCAGCTCCACCAACAAAAATATCACGCCTGGAAGGGGAGATTATAAGAATATACAGGTGGTTAGAATCCTGATCTTCAAAAATTTGGAGGATGATAGAGGATTTAGGTTAAGCCAAGTTGAAAAAAAGTTTTTGCCCTCTAGTGGGGATTGAACTCAGGATCTTTGCCCTGGGTTACATCCACAGACTTTAAGAATTTTTTCTTTTTAATTTTTTTTTTCTGGTACTGGGGATTGAACTCGAGACCTTGGGCTTGCAAGGCGGTTGCAGTGCCACTGAGCTAAATCCCCGGCCCCTGAGAAGTTTGTTAAAGGTGAGATCTCTAGCTAAGATCACCAGATTTGACAAATAACACTACAGGATGCCTAATTAAATTAAATTTGAATATCATGAATTTCCTATTTGGAGCATACTTCTAAAAATTATTCATTGTTTATCTGAAATTCAAATTTAATTGGGTGCCCTATATTTTATATGCCAATCAATCTGTGATGCAACCCAGATCTACTGAATCAAGATCTCTAGGAGCGAGGTTGTTAAGGTTTCACAGGTGATTCTGAGGCAGGCTGTGGGTGTAGCTCAGGCTGGCCTTGAGCTCACTCTGTAGCCCATGCTGGCCTCAAACTCACAGTGATCTTCTCAACTCAGCTTCACGGGTGCCGTACCATCATGCCCAGCTAACAGTTCGCATTTCTAAGTCCTCAAATTGGACCAGTGTGCTGGTCCTTGGAGGAGCCTAGCCCTAGCTGACCTGGAGGGCTCTAGAAGATAAAATCAGGACTCTCGAGGGGATGTCATCTGGTGTGGACATCAGCAAAAGGATTGTTTAGTTTAATAACAGTCAAAACTCTTTAAAATTAAGCAGCTAATCCCAGGACAATGAGAGGCTGGACTCAAAAAGAGGGATTTTCAATGACACTATGTCACTCAGTCATTCAACAAACACCCAGCATTTATTCAGGGCTCCACCCTATTAAAGGCTGGGGATTTGGAGACAAACAAGATGCCATGCTGGCCCTCTGGAATAGCAGTGTAGTGTGGTTGAAGAAAACTTGAGAGGACTTTGTAGCCTTGCCTGGTTGGTGGGGGCAGGACACCAGAGCAGGTGAGGTCTGAACTGGGATTCCAGAAATAAATCGGCCAATTTAGCAGGACCTGTGATTGACAGGTTGTGAAGGAAGAGAGGCATCTCTTTATGTGTGTGTGTGTGTGTGTGTGTGTGTGTGTGTGGTACTTGGGCCTTCACCCAGGGCCTTCACTTTGATCTATATCCCTAGCTCTTTCTTTAATTTGAGACAGGGTCTCACGAAGTTGCTAAGTTGCCCAGACTGGTGATCCTCCTGCCTCAGCCTCCTAGAGTACTCCAGCTTGGGGAGGTATCTTGATGACCCTGGCTCTTCAGCTTGGGTGGAGGTCAACTGGCAGACGTGGAGCCTGGAGCCATGACCCTAACCCTAACTCTAACTGATTCTGACCTTTGGGGACACTGGTCCTGGATCTGTTTGGGGCAGCAATGGGAAGTGTTCTTTCTCCTGCTGATTGGCTGTGAGCTGTGTCCCCTTTCTGGCCCTTTCTTTCCCTGTTAGGCAATGAGAAGCTGGATTTGAAGACCCCACAGACCTTTTCCCACTCTGGAAATCTGGGTAACACTAACTCCCTCTGCATCCCACAAAGCCTTCATCCCACCTCCTTCCTGATGAGATAGCCAGTGGCCACCCCTGGGCACAGCTGAGGTTGTCCCCCAGTGTGGGGTCAGGTCCCAGGGTGAGCACAGATGAAGTCACAGAGAACTAATTTAAAGCAAGTAGTTAAGGGGCCAGTGGCCTGGTTTCTAAGCCTCACGGAAGATGCTCAGGTCAGCAATGCCAGGCCCAGACCTGGGGGAGAGGAGTGGGCAGGGGAGGGCAGTGGACACAGATGGGTGTGAGGGAGATGTGGCCCTGGCCTGGGGTCCCG